CAAAAAGTTGCAAATAGAGATACCATTTGACCAAGCAATTACACTACTGGGAATATACCCCTAAGAGACCATAACTGACATTCAAGTAGATATCTGCACACCCATGTTTATCGCAGCTTTGTTCACAATAGCATGGAGTTGGAAACAACCTAAGTGCCCAACAACAAATGAATGGATAGAGAAGCTGTGGTATATTCACACAATGGAATACTACGCTGCATTAAAATACAAGGAACTCATGCAATATTATTCAAAATGGGTGACTCTGGAGGACATTATGCTGAGTGAAGTATCCCAGTCACAAAAGGACAAATACTGCATGGTGCCACTGTTGTAAAACAGGACTGACCTTGGGTTTGGGGAGACACTGAGAAAGATGGGTTCAATAATGTTTACTACATTGAAATAGATGAGAGAGAAAACTGTTTAAAAAGGGTATGTGATTAGGTATTTTTGTCATGACAGGAGTCTAGAGAGAAGGCTACATGATGGAGTGGACCTGGGGGAGGGTTTGTAAAACAATGAAAGAATTAGTCTTTTACTTTTCCAAGAGGGTAGTGTATTAGGGGGGAGGGTTGGAAGGGGAGAAAAGTACAATGAATGAATGGAAATCAAAAGTCTCTGTAAATTTTTACTGAAATTAATAATAATGTTTTTTATGCTCAAGACACTGTGCTGGTGTGTTAAGGGTATAAAAATAAAACCATCAGACTCACTGTTGTTGATTCCAACTCATAGTGACCTTCCACTGGATTTCTGATGCTGTAAATATTTACAGATTTCTCATCTGTCTCCCATGGAGCAGCTGGTAGATTTGAACTGCCAACCTTCCACTTAGCTGCCCAAGATGCTATGTATGCACTATGACACCAGAGCTCCTATGCATATAAGATAGGGATAAATTGAGGCCCAGGTTTCTTAGCATATTCTACGTCATAGCAATCATAAGCTCCCATGTTGTTCCTCAATTTGAACTAATTTTTTTTTGGGGGGAATACTGATTTTTTTTTTATTTTGTACACGAAACCACTAAGGATGCTGCCTGTTGATACCCTGAGGATCACATTGTGGTACACATGGCCTGTGACTTGGTGGGAAACATAGTAAGAAAAGCAATGATTCAGGCCACTCACATGACCACAAATCTGGGGTTTCCAACAGGGTTCAAGATGGTCAAGCCTGGCTTTGGGATCAGCTCTAAGGAAGCATTGAGAGCATGACCAGGATTGGGAAAGGGAGTTAACTATCAGAGGTCCTGCAGTATTGGTCTGATGCCTGGATCTTCTATTTGTATCAAGAGCAGAGTTTTAATTAGCTGACTATGAAACTGGCTACCCGGAGCTTAGTTGGCGGGAGGGTGTCTGAACTTATGGCCAGCAAATTGAGCCTTGCTGCCCAGCTCCTCTTCAATTCTGAGGATCTGGTTGTTTTTGGCCAAGCGCTGAGGTAGACAAGGTACACCTGTTTTGATGTGGCCAATGTAGAGCCCCACCACCAGGTCAGCAACGATGGTATCCTCGGTTTCTCCAGAACAATGAGACACCATGACCCCTCATCCACTGGTCTGGGCCAGCTTGCATGTCTGAAAAGCCTAGGTCACAGGGCCAATCTGGTTCACTTTGAGCAGGAGGCAGTTTCAGGACTTCTCATTCCCAGCCTTGGCAATTCACTTTGGACTGATCATGGTGAGGTCTTCTCCTACCACCTCAATCCCTGAACTCGAACTCCAACTTTTTAGTCAGATCTTCAAAGACACACGTGGTAGTAGCCCCACATTTCTCATATACTTTCAAAGTGATGATTTATCTATTTCTCCTGCTAGTCTGAGTACTACAAAAAAGGTTAAGTTCTTAACTTCCAGACCAAAAAGTTGGTGGTGCAAATCCTTCCAGAGGTCCCTAAAAAGAAAAGTCCTGGTTATCTGCTTCTAAAAGCCTTGAAAATCCTGTGGATCAGATCTATCTTGCCCACACAGGGTCACCATGAATCAGAAGCAACCAGAAGGAAATCAGTAATAACCCACTTGTCTATTGTTAAGCAAAAAAGTATCAGTTCAAAGAAGGTCACTAACTGTCAAGCCAGAACCAACTCAGAGCTCACACTCCAGTAGGTTTTGCCAGGCTGGTAATCACATGGGAGGAGATTGCCTATCTTTCTCTCATGGAGCAGCTAATGGATTTGAACTTCTTCCCTTTAAGTCAGGAGGTCAACACCTTATCATTAAACCACCAGGGCTTTCTAGGTCAATAGAATAAAATACAAATATGGAATATCACAAGTAAAAAAAAAAAGCCTATAACACATTTCTTCCAGGAAATAAATCCTAATTTTATATTATATAAAATTATACATATATTTGTTGTTGTCATGTGTCATCAAGCCAGAACCAACTCATACCTAACCCTCCAATGGGTTTTCAGAGGCTGTAAATCACTTGGGAAGAGATTCTCCATCTTTCTCCCTCAGAGCATCTAATGAATTCGAACTGCCTGTTTTTAGATTGGCAGTGTAACCACTAGGCCATCAGAACTTCTTTATATAC